ACAAAAAGAATAATTTTTGGTCCAGGTTTTTGGGTTTTTTTTTTTTTGTTTTGTTTTGTTTTTTGTTTTTTGCTATTTTTTTTTAAAGATCACATAGAAGCCTCATCAGAAGAACACTAATTAAACTCATCAGTTCACAGATGTTCACAGAAAAATGATCAGCAAGAAAGTTGTGCCAAGAAATCCAGTTTCCTGGGAAGAAAGATAGATGATGGCAATAAATAGTAACATGGTTAAGAACCAACATTAAGTATTTTACTGTACGGCTACCTTCCATAGACCAGTATATACTACTAAAGCCCTTCAAGGCAATGACTGTTGCCATTCCTATTTTATAGAGTACAAAATTGAAGCTTGGAAGGCTAAATAGGCTTTCTAAAGTAACAGCTGGACACTACCAAGACCAGAAGCTCATGTTTTAGGCCATGTGAAAAAAATCCAGTGACTGTGTGTGTGTGTGTGTGTGTGTGTGTGTGTGTGTTATACACATAGGCATGCTCATGCAATGGCATGTGTGTGGACACCACAAGACAACCTTCAGGAGTTGTTCCTTGTCTTTCACCTTGTTTGAGATGGGATCTCTTTGCCACTGTGCAAGCCACTCTATCTGGGCCCCACACTTTTGGAGATTCCCCTGGGTCTGTTCCCCATTTGCCTATAGTACATTCTGGTATTTCAGAGGCTTGAAATACTGTGTCCAGTTTTACCTGGGTTCTAGAGATGCAGACTCGGTTCATCAGGCTCTCGTGGCAATCACTTTACTGCCCCTCCACCCAGGCATCTGCCCAGCCTCAAATGCAAGTGCTCTTGCTATGGGTGAGCTCTGTTCATAATACGATGACCTACCTCCTCCAGGACCAAAATTTGTGTCAGTGCTTCAAAGGTCAGCCACCAAATAAAAATCAATCAAGCTGTCACTATCTTAAACTAACACTTACCCAACCAATATCCTCTCTTTCACACTCATCTCCCTACATCTGCCATTGACTTAAATTCTTGTCTGAAAATTTTCTTGGTTGCAGAGAGTCTATCTTTAAAATCTACTTCCCACTTTAAAAAATACTAATAGGTGAGATTTAATGACCATCTTTTTTTCACTGATAATTAACAAGCTGTATGATTTCTGCACCCTGGGGAGAAAGACATTAAGCCCTTGTCAAAACAAAAATTTGGTGCCACTTCTAAACACTTTGTAACTCCATAAATATGTCCTGCTTTTATTTTCTTAACACAGATGTTTCTAGGGCTCTAATCACAACATGCAGAGATACCTAACTTGGTGTTCAAATTTTTAGAGAAAATATCCATTTCCATGTGCATTATCTACTGCTGTGCATGATCACTTTCTTTAGTCAAGGTGGGGCTGCCTTAAAATAAAAGAATCATCAAAACTAAGATTTTTCAAAGGACAGTGAGCGGTATTAAACCTCCTTCCATTTATTGTATATGCCTTTGATAACTCAGTCATTAAGAGCACTTTCTCCTCTTGCAGAGGACTTGGGTTCATTTCCCACATATCAGCTCATCATGTAACTTCAGTTCCAGTGGATCCAATGTCCCCTTCTGATCACCTTGGGCACCAGTCATGCATGTGATGTACACAAATCTATTTAGGCAAAACATTCATATCCATAAAACAAATACATACATACATACATATATGTTCTCCAATATGTGGCCAAGAATATTAAGTAAATGTTGATCCTACTATTTTTATTATTTCTCATCATCAACTGTGCCATTATCAACCATGTTTGCCATATCTGGGTCCTCCATATTCACTCCCTGAGCTTGATTCTACTGCCTTATTAATTTATCCAACAAACTGCACCTTGTTGCAGTGTGAGTTGGTTAGATCAAAGGCCTGGAAGCTGAAGGAGCAGTGAAGTGTGTGGTGATATATTATTTATGATTTATTAAAGCTTGCCTGAGGGTTTAGAAAGCAAAGCTAGTCATAAGCATAAAGGTCAGGCAATGGTGATACACACCTTTAGTCCCAGGACTCAGAAGACAGGCAGATGGATCTCTCTGAGTTTGAGGCCACCCTGTCCTACACAAGAGTGAATAGTAACAGAGTTCACACCTGTGATCTCAGCACTTGGGGGGTCACAGGCCTTTGAACCCAGCACTAGGGAGGTGGAGACAAGAGTGATTTGACTGGGTGAAAAAAGGAATATAAGGAGGAGGAGACAGGAACTCAGAGCTTTTGCCTCTGACAATTCATGGAGAAAGGATTGCCATTTCAGCTAGGTAGAGGTAAGGTTTCCTGCTTGGCTGCTTTGCTTCTCTGATCTTCAGCTTGAAACTTGAACCCCAATATCGAACTCTGGGTCTTTTGTTATTTGTGCTACAGAAGCTACTTGTTAGAGGATGATATCTGGGACTAATATGCCTGGCTTCTGATTCTACCCCTGTCACTTACCAGACCAGTGGCATACACTAAAACAATGAGACATCACAATAACCTATTAGATAGCTTACATGCATTTTATTTATATTTAGCCCACAGAAGAAATAAGCATGATTTCAAGAAGTTAGTGTATGTAAGATAGGATAGTTCCAGCATTTATTTTGGACTACATATAGATATTTTACAACTGTGATTATGAAAAAAAAATAGTGCTACAAACCACATATGACTAACGTACAAAGGAGGGAGAATGTGCATCACAGCCTCACTTATCTGTAGCTCTGGTTTTCTGAGCAGTACATGAAAGCACACAACATCCTTCTACGGGCTACCTATAATATGACTCATCTCTTTCTACAGAACCTTTGTGTAGCATGTGCAATCTATGAATTAATCATTTCATTCACATCTCAGTTTTCAAACAGATGGTCACAAAGTCACCATGCATGCATTTTATTGCCCCTTATTATATTTATTAAGAGTCCAATAGTGGTGGGGCTGATAATTTTATTATAATTGCCTTATTGTATTATTATTTATTAATCTTTTTACATTAACTTATTGTGTGTAATTTCTAGATTAAACTTCTGTAACACAAAAAATAAAAATGCAGAGATAGATATTGGGGTTAAAGCTGATTGTCAGATAAACAAAGCAGTCAGCCACTAGCTCTTACCTCTACTTCAGACTGAAAGGGTGATCCTGTCTCCATGAATCCTCAGAGTGTAATGCAGTATCCATGAAGTCTCAGAGACAATAGCTATCCCTGTCTGGAAACTAAATCTCCACTTGAGACCCTTTACTTCATCCTTTTATACCTGTCTAGTGCTGGAATTAAAGGTTTGTTTTCCCAAGTGCTGAGATCACCTTTGTGTGAGCTGTTTCTCTTTAGGACTGGATCAATTTCGTGTGTCTCAGTATGGCCTTGAACTAACAGAGATCTATTGCTTGTGTTCTGAGTCCTAGGATTAAAGGTGTGCCACCACTACCTGGCTCTATGGCTTGCTAGTGTGGCTCCTGGGATTAAAGGTGCGTATCACCATTGCCTGACCTCTGTGGTTTATGGATAGCTTGTATTCTGATCCCTCAGGCGAGCTTTATTAAATCATAAAATAATTTATCACCACAAAAACACACACACACATATGTGTGTGTGTGTGTGTGTGTGTGTGTGTGTGTGTGTGTGTGTGTGTGTGTGTGTGTGTTCTTCTATAAGACAGTTTTCTCAATTGCTCAGGACAACTTATACCTCACTGTGTTTCCCAAGCTAACCTTAAAGTATACTTTTTGAACATTCATTTCCAATTCTCCATTGATGATATCTTTCTGGTTACATTTCATTAAAAAATCAATAAGTACTGGACACAGTGTGGTGTTTCTGTCATGAAGTTATAATAACACTCGATACTGGCTTCTCTTTGTAAAATTAAGGAGGAATGCATTGCTGGTGATACTTACAGAAGTGTGATACATTTGAATGTGCTCTCCTGTGAATCCTTATGTTACATTAATATTTTTTCCTTAAAAAATATAGATGCAGAGCTGAAGGTATAGCCAGTAACTGAGAGTGTGCATAGCACATGCAAAATCTTGGGCTCAGTTTTCAGCCCTATGGGGGTAGGAGGGAACGCACAGAGTACTACCATGAGAGTAAACTGGTTCATGTTTCAAGGAGAACTTTCAGATATTAATATTTGTAACAATGCAATTATAGTTGTATCTAACAGATCATGGATATGAGTTACTCTAAAAACATCCAGGCTGGATAAGCCCAGATAATTGTTTTTCGTAATATTATTTATAGTAGCATCATATTAAGAGCAAACTAAGCAGGTTCTAGCAAGGGATAATTTAAACCACTGTTACAGCCATGCAAAGCAATGAAAACAAAATCTATGTTGCTAAATTATATTACTGTTACAGTCTAGATCTTCAATGCCAATTCCAAAATAATGTGTTCAACATGGTTACACCAACTTAAAGAGATTTGTTTAAGTAGGAAACTTGTGGGTTAGTCCTGTTTTTGTGGGTGGTTGGTTTTTGTTGATTTTGTTTTTAATTTCCCTCAATTACTATACAATGCTTTATGTGTATTTTTCTTCACTGTGTTGTTTTCATGTTTGTTTTTCCTGGTGCTGGGAACTTACACAAAGCTCTCACATGTTCTCAGTAATCATTAATTATACCACTGATATGCATGTCCAGCCTGATAAATATACATACATACATACATACATATATATGATAGACAGATGATAGCATTTTTAGTCATAAAAACTGTACTAAATATATAAAAAGATCATTTGAGTTTTTTTTTTTTTTTTAGAAATATTATTCTGTTTGCTGTTAAGTCACTTCCTCAGCAAAATCAACAAAGCTGACCCTGCTTTGTAGCATTGATGGCTATACCTAACCTGCTTGGGTTAAAGTTTACACTGTATGTTCTATCAAGAATGCTACACATACCAAACTAATCATTGTAACCCAGTGTTTTTATAAGGTCATAATTTCAAATTTCACACTGTCTTCTCAGGTAGTTCTCTTTCACTTCACAGGCTTAACTCTCATATTTATCCTTCTCCTCTTTCAGGTAAATAACTATAGTTTAGAAGAAGTTACACATGAAGAGGCTGTAGCGATATTGAAGAACACATCCGATGTTGTTTACCTAAAAGTTGGCAAACCCACCACCATTTATATGACTGATCCTTATGGCCCACCTGACATTACTCACTGTAAGTATGGTACTTGGTGTCATCTTCTAATAGCCAGCCAAAATAGACCTCCACAAAGCCATTTTTGCCTCTGCTTACAGTTTCAATCATGTCAAGCTTCTTGAAACAAACACTTCAGGGAAAATGTTCTATGCATCATTCCCATGTTGTTTTACAGGACCTCAGCTAATGTTTTAAAGGTAGGACACCTAGATAAATTGCATGTTCACCAATGGAAGAACAGAGTGATGTGATTTTAATCTTGGTGACTACAATAGCATTGATTCAACACTCTGGAAGATAATTTACCAATCCCATGGAACATGAGTTCGGTTGTGCCAGTATATTCCATTGTCCTAGTTCAGATCTATGTAGCAGCAGAGTGAAAGACAGATGCTGGCAAAATAAGCCATAGATAGTTGTATACTTCCTCCTAGACAAAGGGATTGGCCTCTGGAATGATTTTCGGTCATCATCATTACTGTTATCTTTAGCTGAATTTGTCATCAATCATTGTTGGTAGCAATGAGTGAGGGCAACAACTAACATGAGTCACTATTGTGGGGACCACACCAAATTCACTGCTAATTAGTTCTCCCTCTCTTCTGTCTTCTGGAACTAAATTTAGGAAGAATTCACTTTTGATGTAAACCTAAAGGGTGTTTTTATTGGCATAAGTTAGCTTCTTGGATTTGAAGCCTTGCAAGTTCCATCGTGTATACCCAGGATGTCTTCAGGACTGACTGTTAATTAGAACTATCATCTTCAGCAAGTGTTGAATCTTTCTCAGATTTAGATGTTCCTCTTGAGCAAAATTTAAGAGCTAAATACCCTTCACTTTAAAGGCCTGTTACCTTAGCTATTACTTCTTGAAATAATAGTTCTGAAATGCGTAGCCCTCCTAATAGTCCTTTTTATTCAAAGAAGGCTCTAAGTTGAGATAAGCCTGACCTTAGGGCAGAAAGAGTTTTGACTTTCAGAGATTTGATCTAAATAAATATAGAGGAGTCAGGTAGGTTTGAGGGTCTAAGACTCACTCCATAAAGGGCAAACAAATACAATGGCAGAGATTTTTTAAAAGGCAGAACACAAAATTTTCTAGTCAATTAATTTAACACATGCTGCATAACTTGTATAGTAAGATGTGTGATGGCCATCTTACTTTAGAGGAAATACAACCGCAGCCTTTAGCCACATGGAGAGCAAGCTAACTCAGATGTATTACTAGCAACACAATTTGGTGGAAATTAGAGGCAATATATATAGTCAGATAAATTAAATATCCTTTAGTGACTCAGAGAAGGGAGATTTTTGTTAACAGAACTGAGAGATTTCATTTATAGCTGTCCTTGGAATTATACATCTGAGGTGGGGTAAGAGATACAAATTACAGATAACTCCATACAGTAAAACAGTGGTACAGATACCATAAACATGGGTTTTGTTTGAATATTAACAGCATGTATAAGGAGGGTCGGAATGGGTCATTTTTTTTTATCAATTTCATAAAGAAGAGAATGCATACTATGTCCCAAACAACATTACAGTGCAGAACATGTAAGCAAGAGAACAAAAAAAAAGTCAAATTTTAAGAGTTCACCTCAGTGTACAAAACAGATTTGAGGAAAAATCAGAAGTAGGGAGCTCTGTCAAGAGGTGTCAATGAGAAGATGAGTTAGAGAAGAATGGAAGAAAAGCACTTGACATGTAGATGTCTTGCAATGGAAGTATAGCATATCTGTGAAGAAGGCTTAGTAGGAGAATGTATTCCTTGGAGCCTTTCACTTTTGATAACTGGATATTAATTATGTAAAATAAATGTGAGCCCTACAATTAGAAGCTAACATTTTCATTTCCATAGAAAATTAATCATCATTCTGAAGATGTGTGTTGAGTCTCTCCTCCAATTCTTCTCAAAACCTAATTATGCTAACTTGGGCTACAAATATAACTGTTATTACATCTTTCCAAATCTAAAGGTTGCCATGTGCTTATATATGGGAAATGCAAACAGACAGCAACTCACTCCTCTTGGAGAACAAGAAAAATTTGGCATGTAGCAAAGCCTTTGTATTTTTTAACACATCCTCTAAAATATAACACACTGGATCACCCACACAGAAGGCTTGATTCCATTTTTCTTTCTCTCCCCAATTCCTTAGCTTATTCTCCACCAATGGAAAATCATCTACTCTCTGGTAACAATGGCACGTTAGAATACAAAACGTCCCTGCCGCCCATCTCTCCAGGAAGGTACTCACCAATTCCAAAGCACATGCTGGTTGAAGATGACTACACCAGGTCAGATATGCTTCTATTTTAATATGGTTGATTATTGTTTCTAGGAAGAAGTCCCATTTGTGTATTTATTTCAGCTGTTACTTCACAGATAAACTAAAGCTTCTAAGTGCTCTTCAAACTCAGTGTAGCTTACCTTCAGTGAGAATCTTCAACCACCTATATACAGGTAATGGGATATCCTGATATATACTCACACATTTTTTTGTGAGAAACAGTATTATGCATATATCAATCACAAAGTGATTTGCCAATATTTGTTACAGTTGACCCCGTTTGAGTTTTGTGGCCATTCTGTAGAGTATGTTTCATTACTTGATAAAAGATTATCACAACAGGGTAGAGAAGACATAAAATAGCCTGCCTATGTTATCCATCTGGTTGTGTGTGGTCAGATCTGAAACCCTTCTTTTATGACTTTACTTTCCATGTTCTTATTTCCATATGTAATGGAATCTGGAAGTTACCATACCCTCTATCTAGTGCAAAAGCTATAGGTAATAAGGAAAGAGATGAATTTGGTTCTAAAAAGTTTCAAATTAATATACCATATTAATTCCAAGAGGAATCTGAGTAGCAATCTTACAACATTACTAATATCACAAATGATAACATATGGCCCCAGCATTCTAAATAAATCAAGTCTAACAGTTCACAGAGAAAAATAGAATTCATTTAAATTTTCACCAGTAAGAATCCAACAAATATTGAATGATTAATTAATTAATTAATTAATTAACTAATTGACGGGTGAAGAAAAAATATTTACTTTTTTCTTTGTATTTTTAAACAACTTGTTCCAAAACTGGTATATGCTTAATATACTTGGCAAGGAGGTGAAACTATGTTTATGAAACAAAAATCTCCCCAAGAGAGTTAGTTCTCTTTAAGAGTACAGCCTTAATAAGTGAATTATTCTTCAATGGAAGGCCACATAACCACGAATGTATAGGATGCATAAATTAGACTTTATGGATATTAAAAAATGAAGACTACTGTATTTCTTGGGAAAAAAAGACACAAAACAGACCTGGGAGAAGTTAGAGGAAGGGTGAACATGATCAAAAAACACTATACAGAATACTCAAAGGTTTAAAAAATAATATATCTCTCAAACTCCTTTCAGAGTGACCTACTTGGTCACTCTGACCAGTGTAACAGCCTATAATGAAAAGTTCAAACATATACAAATGTACACTTAGATACAACTGGGGGCTGACATTGACTTTTCAAAAATATGTTCATAGTTTGCACATTTTTCTACAATTTGTTTTTTTCTTGATATTTTTAAACAAAAAAAAAATGGTGGTAGTGGCAAACATTTTTAATCCCAGCACTTAGGAGGCCAAGGCAGATGAATTTCTCTGAGTTGAAGGCCAATCTAGTATACATAGTGAGTCAGAACAGCCAGTGCTACACAGAGAATCCATGTTTCAATAATGAGATTAAATATATAATCTCATTATACATATATTTATAAGTATATATATATATATATATATATATCAAAAACAGGTGTATTGCTTTGGTTTTATATCTTGTTTAATTGAAGTTATTTGTCAGTTTTGACAAAGTAAAGGAGACTTCAAGCTTCCATGTGTTTATTCTTTGACTTTTCTGTTCTTTGGCATATATTCTTAAATGATTAAGCATTTCCTATTTATTTTGCAGTATCAGGTTTGCTGACATAGCTTGTTATATCTTTAGCCAGGAAACAAAACATTTAGAAACTAAAAATGTGCATCTCGCAGACTTCTTGTGGTGCTGAGATATCTGAGCTCCATATTCTTAGTTAAAATGAGGACTATGGCAAAGATGAACTTCAGGGCTCAGTGAAGTATTTTGTAAATATAGACACCTTTACGCACCAAACAATGATTTGTTTGCTCTCAGGCTGTCACTAATATTGAAGCTCATTTTAATTTGAAATGTTGTTTTATCATACTAGAACTCATAATAAATTAACATTTGTTAAAGTCTCTTTATAATCCTGGCCACTTGCTAGCTGTTCAATATACTCTACTCATTTAATCCTTTAAAAAACAGAGAGATAGACCTTCATCAATATTTATAGGTGGAGAAAAATTAAACCTCACTCTAAGAGTTTATGGCTGCATAGCTTTTGAATAAAAAAAAAAAATCTTTGTTCTCTGGGAGTTTTAGAATCCAAGCTAAAAAGCATTCATTTTTTTCTCTTTAGTATCAAAGTGAACACAAACTTAAACTCTTCTCATCAGAGAAATACATGGCCAAAAAGGGCCTATGGTCTCTTTTGAGCTATAATGACAGACGGCCCAGGTGAGACCTTTCACTATCTCTGGCTAACTATGGCCTTGAATTAACTGAGAGTTACAAACTGTCAGACTTGGATGAGCCATCTATACATGTAGATCTGCTCCTACATGACAGAAGAGGAGCACAAACCTAGAATGAGTGCTTTGTTGGCCTCCCCTGGTCCTCTGCTTGTAAGCAGTAGAAACAGATTTAGAGAAGATGTTGTTGACTATGCAACTAAGTATTCATTCTGTTTCTCTAAGCTGATATTTACTGTTTGGAGGTTGAAGGATCTGGAAAGGGAATTTAAAAAAAAAACTGCAATCAATCAAATATCACCTGTAAATGGTGAAAACTTTACAGCTTGCATTCCACCACCCATTCATTCTACAGGCTTCCCTCATACTCAGGAGTGTGAACTACATTTGTTTACCATCCAGATCAGTCTCTCTCTTGAGAGCAGCCAAATGAATCCTTAGCACTAAATTGAAACAAAAAAAAAAAAAAAAAAGGAAAAACAAAAAAGGATACAAGGATGCAAAATGAAACTCTCAGCATGCAATTGCTTCATTTACTAATGAATGCAGTGGATGTTGTTATGAAACCCAGGGAACTAGAACTTAGCTTTGAGAGATACACATCCTATACTAGAAACCAAATTCACAATTCACGAAACATACATATCTGAGTGCCATTTTGACTGTCAGCACATAGTAGACTCTCGCAGATCTTGGTTGATTCTAAAACAAAGCTAAATAAAATCGCTAGATAGAGACCTCATGTATATAAACAACTAAGAACAACTCTAAATTGTGACTTTGATACTCTCCTGCTTGGTTGGTCATATCAGTACATACCATTCTACTAGCTAGGAGTCCATCTCTACCCTATTTGACCCTAAATTACAGATTACTAACTCGCTAGGTATACTTCTGACATATAATCTCTGTATGCTTCTTCAACTTTGTTACATTGCAGAGCACATTACAAGGACTTATTATGAGAAGCAGTATAACCCAATAACTTTATTGAGAATGTTTATTTTTATAACTGCAAGGAACATCTAATACCACATTAACTGAAAATATAAAGTGGGAGTCAATGGAGCCAAGTCTGGTATAAACACTCTCCATCTGAGCTCTGCAGCTAAGCACAATTGCACTCTCATTAATTTGTAGGATTTTGTTTTACTTTCTTGTTTCTTTCTTGTAGCTGATTGCTAATATCAAGTGGGATTTCTCTGTTATAATTCTGCACAGCATGAGTATGTCCCTCACAAATTTTATAAACCTCATTATAAAATGTCAGCAATTCATAAGCAGATGCCTCAAAGTTACCCATTCTGTTCTCTGTTGCTTGCCTGGTTTTCTCCAACAGGGTGCATGCTGGTGCAAGTCTCCTTTAAGGTGAAAAGTTATAATGGAAAGGAGGGAGTGGGTTAACCTGTGCTAGAGACAGAAAATAGATCATTAAATAAAAGCTACAAGGGGAGTTTTCTCTTTATTGATGAGGACTCCACAAACGTTAAGGTTGAGTTTTACAAGCCAGAGTGATTCAGTTAGAAGCAGACAGTATTAATGGGGAAGTTGGCAAATTTTAATTAAAGAGGAACATCTAAAAACATATTGGAAACATGTTAAGTCATTGATTGCTTCAGAGAAATTAATTCAATGTTAGCAAAAATGAAATTGTAATGAGAATTTAAAGGTGCATAGGTCCTTTATGGAGACTCATCATTCTCTATGCTTATAACAAACAATATGATGCATACTATACTGTGGAAGATAGTTATTGTACATATATGTCACTGATATAAAATTCAAATTATTAAATTAATGCTGTATTACTTTATGACACAAGAGTTCATCATCACCCTTTCAGACCTACTGTTGTAATATAAAAGGAGAAAATAGACTAATAATGAACAGTGCATAATTTTGTAGTGATCAATATAAATGACATCAACTACTGGTTCATAGTTGTTACAGGGACTGCAAGGTTTTTTTTTTTTTTTTTGTCTTTTTTTTATTTGTTTTATATAACCAAGTCCATTTAATGAAAACAAACATTTATAGACAATATTTGGGAATTTGGGCATTGTTCTTTCCAAACTACGTCCTGCTGGTAAGGGGCTCTGTCATGCGGGATTTGAAGAAGATTCAGAAATCCTGGCTGTAGTCTGTAAGGATGCTTTGTCCAGCTGTTTTGAATGTAGGATCACATGGTACTCTGTTTCAGGTGGTCTGGATTGATCAAACCACATTAGTCTGGAAGGAATCCACATATTTTCATTTTCTGTGGAGAGAAAAATAGAAATCCTTTTCCCCAGTAACTTGTACTTGAACTTAAATTTTGGAGTCAAAGCATTTTTTTAATTTAATTTATTATTTTACATGTTGATCCCAGTTACCTCTCCCTTCCACTCTCTCTCCCTTCCTCCCTCCCTCTTTCCCTCCCTTTTACCCTCTCAGCCCTCTCACATGCACTCTAAACACCCTCCCCTCCCATTGCCTCATCCCAATTCCATATGTAGGGGAATGCCATCCAGTTGGGCTCATGTAGATCTGAAGGTCATGTAAAGTAGGGACTAGGGCTTCTCTCCTATGTCTAGAATAAGGTAGTTATCCCTCCATGGGGGATGTGCTTGCAAAGTCCTTTTGTGCACCAGGGATACATCCTGGCTCCACTGTCTGAGGTCCCTTAGACTGCTCAGTCCTTCTGGCTGAGAC